GGATCTCTGTGAGTTCGAGGCCAGCCTGAGCTACAGAGTGAGTTCCAGGAAAGACACAAAGCTACAAAGAGAAACCATGTCTCGAAAAACCAAAAAAAAAGAAAAGAAAAGAAAAGAAAAGAAAAAACCAAAAAAAAAAAGAAAGAAAGAGAGAGAGAACAAGGTGTTACATGGGAAGAGTGGACGGAAGGAAAATGAATTGGGATGATACAATCACAATTTCAAAAACATCGAAGTTATGGTAGAACATGCCATGCTTCTATATTGCACTATTATACATACACTTTAAAATAGTTATGCAAATGGAATGAGAACATGGATCTCTATGGCAGCAGGTTTGGTACTAATTCAGTACAGTTACAAGTGTGTTTTCTTTTGGAAATAACAGCTAAGTAAAAAGACCTATTTCCTTCATCTCAGACAATAAGACTCTTTGTATCAGGTTTATACTAAATCCCTACATGTAGATTTATTTTTCTTATGTTGAGGAAAGCAAATACATGTCTATTTGAAAAGCTGCCTGATTTCTAGAATTCTCTGTCTCTACTTCCATTTTACCTACATTTTTATATCTCACCTATGCTAATGTGTCCGCATACAATAGATAAAGAGGGGAGTGGTAAATGACATTTTCTAAACATGGCATGGCCTTTGTGCTCATGAACTCAAAGGTGCTATGGTTACCTGCACAGAAAGTCCAGAATATCATGCCTGTCAAATGTCACCATGGCTAGAGAAATCAGTCTAGATGATGAAGCTAGAGGAGCTACTGATAGCTGATGACTGCTGTGGAAGAGAGAGTCAGTTTTCTTAGCTGGTAGTTTCCTAGGCCTCAATGGATTCCCCCTTGTATATGGGCAGCACTAACAGGATTAAGGAGGGTAATTAATGTTAATGTTTATGTAAAATAAGAAGGCATGAATTTAGAAGGGAAATTCCTTGTGTGTGAGAGGCGGGGGGTAGTGGAGTCCACCTAGGTGCTACAGGGGAGTAGTGGAGGAGGGATATGAACAAAATATCTTACACACATATATTAAAGTTTCAAAGATTAAATGTAAGCTACTATTTCTTAAAAGCTGCCTAAGTTCTTTGGAGAATGCTTATATAATATTGTTTTATCTCCACTTGTTAAAATAAAAAAGCAAATCAAGATTCAGAGAATACATTATTTTAAACTATACCCACAAAAAGTGCAGTGAATAGGCAGAAAAGTGCAGGGAATAGCCAAGATCCCATTAAAACTACTTTATTTCCAAATTAATGCTCCTTTACACAGTTTTACACATTTCTAGCCTCTGAGAAGTAAACCTCTCAAAAACGAAAATCTTTTCCATGAAACTCTTAACATTTTCCCTAAATTATGGCAATTAAAAGGCTGCTGTATATTTGAATGGTACATTATGGTTTCCAAATGCTTTTATGTAGATTATCTTGGTCTTTGTGGTTACTCAGCACTGGTGGTTATGCTTGAATTTACACTTAAGTAATGGAACAGATTTAGAGAAAAGCAAACAAATAACAACCAAAAAGTCCCGTGGAGAAAAGTTATACCATTTAGGGTATATTTTGCTTGAAGGAAAAAAAAAATAAAATGAGTGCTCTCAATGGTCAATATAAAAGATAATTATAAAGTAACGAATTGAAAGTGTTTTTTTTTTCACCTTCACAGTTGGTACACTAGCGGGAATCAGCTCATATGAAATTCAAATGAGGTATTTAGAACATCCTAAAATCAATTTGCTAGCAAATCAAGGATCTAAAAATAAATAATAAAACTTTGTGCATAAAGACAAAAGTCTATGATAAATGTAATTCAACTGGGCAATGAGAATCATAAAAAAATGTTTGAGTGACCCCATGAAACAAAATTATTAAGGAAAATCAGAGGAGAGCTATATAATATGTGCATAGAAAAATACTGGTGAAAGTTAATGTAGCCCAGATTCTAAGATAATTAAATCAAATTATTCCATGCAAGTAGAAAAGAGACAGTGCTGAAGTGAACCTCCCCAAGTTCCAAAGGCACACACTTTACAACAAACTAGCAAACATTATGGACAAGGAAGAGGGTAAACTGCTGTGAAATCCATAGGGAATTTTCAGGTGGGAAATTATGAGAAGACGAGCCCTGAAATGTGTGCAAATATAAGGTTTTTAAGAAACAGCTCAGGTGCTGGAGAAAGGGCGCAGATGATAAGAGTGATTGATGCACATTTATTAGGACCCAAGTGGATAACACCAATCACACACACACACACACACACACACACACACACACACACACACACACACACACACAGAGACAGAGACAGAGACAGAGACAGAGACAGAAACACAGAGCCAAAAATAAAGAATCACCTCCAAAATAAAAGTGTCTAGCTAAATTTAATAAGCTGGGTAACAAAGGAATTAAGAAGGGAAAGACAGGATGAAAATTTAAGAAATAACTTTGAAAGAGGAAAAAATGGTTGTTTGTTTTTGCTTTTGGTTTTGGTTTTTGGTTTTTTAAAAGATGTATGGATTCAGTCAGTATCTGTTTGCGGGATGGTAGGAAGATGCTTTGATGATAATAAAAGTACTCTATAAAAACTGACATTGAGTACAGTTTAAAATAGTCAACCATCTGGGTTGGATAGTATAGAAAGGGCTCTGTTTGAAAAAGTGGGAAATTAAAAAAAAAATCTTAGATCCATTTTAGTAATACAGCACTTCATAAAATTCTGCTACATTACACTTCAAAGATTTGGTTTTTATTTATTTTTTATTTTGTATACTTAATGGCCAAGTTTGAGGACCTATAGGTAAATGAAAGCCATTCTTTCATACAAACCTTGTCTTCGTCCTAACACACATTGCCTTGCGGCCTGCTTATGGTTGGGTCACATGCCTAGGGTCTCTCTCTCTTCTAATCCTTTGACATTAACTAGCACTTGCATGCTAGTACATGTCAAGTGTGCAAATGTAGCCCAAGGCTTAGACTCCAGGCTGTAGTCCCATGGTTATTTGTCATCTCATGCTCGATTCCTCAAAGGCTTCTGTAGCATAAAAATCTCTCTATGTCTCTTTCCCTTTAGGTTCCTTTTCCGATTTCTGTTCTTGTAAATGTCACCTTTCATTTTGACTACCTCAGAACACCAACTTCAAATGCAGTTTTCTTCCTTGTCATATCCTACATCTAAATTCATCATAACTACTTCACATCTATCTTTAAGATGGCTGTCAAACCAGATGACAGCCCACCTTCTTGCTATTATTCCAGGTCAAGACTCCAGGACCTCCTTCCCGGAATCCCACAGCAGCCTTCCAGTCAGAATTTCTGACTCTGCCCTTCTTCTCTTCTTACAGTCTATTCGCTGTAGAATAGTCAGGGCCCTTTAAATATGACATCTGTTGAAGTACATTCTGCAGAAGTATAAGAAAACTTCTGTCCTAGAGTGTCTGCACTGATAGCTCTTCATCCTGAACAGGCTTTTCCCAGAAATATGCTTTGTTCACAATGTGTTCTTTATTTCCTAATTAAAATCCTACATGTTTAGACCACCGTTCCCTGAGTACCCTACCTAGAAAAGCCACCTGCTGCCAGGCTTATCTTGGCTTTACATTCATTTACTTCATTAACTCTTCATGGTGTATCGCATTTATTTGTTTTTCCCAAATGACATACAGAAGAAACACAAAAGTATAATAAAAATGAATAAAATGTAGATACCTTCAGTGCTCCTCTGTGGTTTGGGTTTTCATGTTATTCTTTCAAACATGCATTAGGATTTTCATATATCTTTAATTCTCATAAAAAATCATTGATTTTTTTAAACTGTCAGATAGTCTCTTGTTATAGCAAAAATGTTTAGTGTTTTTATATTTTTGGGGATCGGAGGCATGACACATTTTATTTTAATGTTTAAACTTTTTGACTACAATCGTTTCTTCTTTTACTTAATTGCTCATGGGATTTGCTTTATTGTATCTAGAAAATGGATCCTTTTATATAGTGTACATTTTGAACCCCCACAAAAATATTTTTTAGTTAGATATAGTACCTTTCTAGGTTTCCTTTTCCCATCCTCTATGTTTGATCAGATAATTTAGTTCTGATGTGTAAGGAGTATTAATTCATAGATAACTGTTCCCGCAGACCATTTGTCTTAGCCAATTACTAGGATTTAAGGTCTCATGGACTTTAAAAAGGCCTCCTCAAGACTCTTGTAAGGACTTGGTGCCATGCTTCCAGCCACTACAACACTGAAGAAAGGTACTTAAAACTCTCCACATCTTAATAATGCCATCACCACAGTTACATCCACATTATTCCAGTCCCTAATTTGTCTACAAGATGAATTGCAAGATCAAACTGAAAATTGATGACCCACATTATATGAAAAGCAGTGATAATTAGCCATAATATTTTCATTGCCATAGTTTGGTTGCCATCAAATTTTAAAAATTCACTTTCATTCAAAGCTATATCCTGCTTGTCTAGTTTTTCCTGACTTCTGACTCTTTCATCTATTCTCTATCTCTAAATAGGACTAATTCAACAATCTAACACCACTGTTTGATATCTAACAGCTGAGCTTCACATCCAGTTATATTTTGCAAACTAGACCTATAACTGAGCCTCACCCCCAAGTCCCTTGCCATTAACTTTAAGTTAGGTTCTACCAGCATGGAGACACTGAACAGAAACACTGTAGTAAGGCTTTCCAGAGAAGAAGTGTGTGTGTGTGTGTGTGTGTGTGT